TTTTTTGGAGGAGGGAGGTGACAGGAAAGGGGAACTAAGGTTCTGGGAGAGCTCTGGGGATAGAGTAGGGTGCAGAATCTGTCTCCTCCAGCCCCTCATTAGTAACTGAATCAACTCCCCAACCCCATCAGCCACCCCATCCCCGGTTTGTTCCTACTAATCTCTCCTGTGCCTCCTCAGTGTTGCTGTTTTAGGTCACCCCAACTCAGCCAATGACCCCTTCCCCCCCCCCCCAAATGTCAGTTTTGTGTTTTTAAAAGTCACCTGCGTAGTTGATGTCAGCGTATGTGTATTTGGTGGGGAAACATATTTTGGGGATTCCTGTGGTAGGTAACAGAGGAAGGAAGAGCACCGTTCCTCCTCCCTGGGCCCTGTCACTGGGTGCCTAGAGGACATGGAAAGGGGAGCTAGAAAGGATGGGGAGCTGTAAAAACCTGCATTTTTCAAAAAGCACTTAAGCACCTCCTTCTTCTGACTTGGTGGGTCACCCCTCTAACCTCTTCCCTCTTCCACCGAGACCATCAGAACCTTGACTGGTAGCTTGGGGTTCCCTGTGGAGGAGGGGTGCCCAACCTAGGGCAGTGCCTACCCCAGCTTGCAGCTCGGCTCTGCCCCCCGGATTCCACGGCCTCCCATCTTTCCCTTCTTCATCCTTGATGTGAAGGTGGACAGGACCCCGGGCGGGCTCTCCACTAGTTTGCCTGGTCCCTGCCACCGGGTCTTTGTCGCTCACGTCCCCGTATTTCTCTTCCTTTGCGTCTCAGCACCTTTCTTCTGTTCAAAAGTTTTCTGTAAATTTTTTTTCTTTCCTTTTTTCTTTTTTCTTTTCCTTTTTCTTTTCTTTTTCTCTTTTTTTTTTTTATAAATTAATTTGCTTTCAGTTCCATCTTGTGAATGCCTTCTGTGTTCTCTGACCTGTGGCTGCCAGACAGGGGGGTGGGGCTGGGGGCAGCCTTTCCAGGGGCATTCGCCTGGGCTGGAGAGGCACTGGACGGACGATAGGCACGCAGGCACTAGGCCTCTCTCCACAACAGGCTCAAGGCAGCACAGCTGTCAGGACTGTGCACTGTTTTGGAAGCTGGGCAGAGGCTCTCACCTTCCCTAAAAATAGCTGTTTGAGACTTGGAAGGACATCCTCCCAACCTGGAGATTTTGTATATTTATCCTTTCAGAAGTAATGGCTTCATTCCTTCCCTTATTAGGCAGGAAGAAGGCAGGCAAGTCACATACTTCTGTTATTACTGGCCACTAGCCCTACCGAGGTGACAGGCTCAGCAGTGCTAATATGGTCTGGCTTTAGCTCCATTAAACACTCCCTGGGTTTCCCCCACAAAAGGCCATCAGTGCTTGGGAGAGGGACGGCTGGGTTTAATCAGATGGGAGGGCTACGCGGACTTCCTGAAAGGAGGCAGACTGAGGATGGCCAGCCTTTGGTCCTACAGGGATTTATGGCTTCCTTAATTCCCCCAAGCGGTAGCCTCTGGAACATCAGTGAATGGGGCCAGTATTTCTTAAATGACACAAAGATGGATCCCCCAAGCCCTTCCCCAGCTTTTTTGACCCCTGGTCTATTGGCCGTGGATGGTCTTTCCTCCCCTTCACCCTGCTCAGGAAGGAAGGCAGAACCGTACTTAGGGCACAGAGCAAGTTTATTTGGTGACTGCTGACAGCAAAAATCCAAGAGAGACAAGCTGGCAAAGGTGCTGTGACAAGAGGACCTAGGACGCCTTCGGGGCTACATGCAGTCTCACACGGGGGAAGGCACGGGGCTCGGGCACACCAGGAACGTCCTCAGCCATTCAGCACCATACGGACAAGCTCTGTGGATCGGAGAGAGGGGTGAGCCAGGGAGCAGGGCCAAGGGGAGGGGTCCACCAGGGGCCAGGAGACCACAGGACCACAAAGGTAGCATGGGTGTGTGCCCACAGAAACCTTGGCTTTGCAGAGGAGCCACCTTCAGTCTGCCCAGTTCTCTTGGCCCCCAGCTCCCCTCCCACCAGCTGTTAGCCCCCCACCCTACCCTGAGCAGCAAGAATACAGCAAGAGGCAGAAAAGTTCTCAACTACACCTACAGCTATTGTCAGCCATTGGCAGGAGAAGACAGAGATTTGGGTTAGGGTACCTCCAAGCTGCCCAGCAGAAGGAAGAAGAAATGACTATTCTGCTATAGCAGCACAATGGGGCAGGCGACCCCCCCCATGCCAACGACCTGGGCCCCAGGGCCAAAGGATCACCCTGAAGCAAGATGGGGACAGGCTGGTGCGAGTTCCCAGACACCGGCACCCTGGACCCTAGAAGCAAAACCTCAGAGCCCATTCTAGGAGAGGAGGTACCACACCCCCAGGCTGTCTTCCTCTTTGAGGAACCCCTCCCCTGCCCAGTCAGCTCCATGCAGAAACATGCTAGGAGGAAGTCAGATGGTAGTAGGGGAGGGGCAGGGACTAGAGAGCAGAGGTTGGGGAGAAAAACACTGGGGAGGGCGACTAGAGAAGGGAGGCTGGGAGGAGCCGTACCCGCCCCATGGGCCCGTCACCCCGACAGGATATGCCTCACAAACGCTGCAGGAAGGAAGAGACATTCATGGTGAAGACAAGACACAGACATGGGGTGAAGGGTTCAGGTGGTGGGGGAACAGACATTCCCTTTATTTTACTTCCCATTCCTTCCCCACCCTTCACACATTACCCTTGTCTTTCCTGTCATACCCCCATGGCCTCCCGCTCCCGGGCTGGGCCAGGCCCTGCCCTTTGCCTCTGGAGCCCCAAACACTTGGGCTGCCTGTACAACCGCTTCCTCCATGAGAGCCCCATGTCCCTCACCTTCATAATTGATACAACCATTGCTGTCCTCGTGCCCCGCCACCAGCATCTCTACTTCCTCCTCCGTCATCTTCTCACCTGCAGAGGGAAAGAAAAGCATTCTGGGATCTGGGTGGCAAGTGTGTGTCAGGTGGCACCTCAGCTCAAAGGAGCAAGGGCAGAGCCTTACCCAGCGTGACAAGAACGTGCCGGATTTCAGCACCCATGACAGTGCCATTCCCTTCCTTGTCAAACACCCGAAGGCCTTCGACGTAGTCCTCATAGGTGCCCTGGTCCTTGTTCTTGGCCACAGTCTGCAGCATGGGCAGGAAGTGTTCAAAGTCCAGCACCTTCACATTCATCTCTGCCATAAAGGAGAGGGAAGGAAAGTCACCCGGGTCCTCAGGACTGAGGAGACTACGGGGCTCCCACGGGGGCAGGGGGCTCCCACTGAAAGCAGGAGAAATCTGTGGGATTTGCTAGTTGAGACAAACCTGCTTGAGGTCTGGGCCCATGAAGATAAAGGGAAGCTCTTAGCTGAAGAACTGTAGGCCCATTACCACACTGAGGAATAGTTCCTGAGGACCCTCACCATCGCTCTTGGGGTTCCCCAGGACCTTGAGCACCTCGGCGTTGGTGGGGTTCTGGCCCAGGGCCCTCATCACGTCCCCACACTGGCTGTACAGGATCTTGCCATCCCCTGTTCGATCGAACAGCTGAAAGGCCTCCTTGAACTCTGAAGATTCAGACATGATCAGCACTGAGCATGCGGGGGTTGACCCAAACCCTGCCTCCCAAACCCTCTCTGCCCACTCAACTTTAGTACCACTGTACGCCCAGGTCCACCGAGAGGGAACTAGTCCCTGCCTCCCTGCTCAGGTGTTCCACAAAATGACAGGCCTCCCCCTCCCCAGGACGGAAGGGTAACAGCCACTTACACGCCCCTCTGGCCCCTCAGCCGCCCCTCTGGCCCCTCAGCCGACAGCAAGCCCGCCCAGCCTCCTCCCTACACTCAGGGCAGGAATTCGCCACCGCCCTGTCTGGGTCCTGTCCTTATAAGGAAGAGGGAGCAGCAGCCGGGGACCGGGGTCATCCCTGCCTGCCACTTCCCACCCCTCCGGTACAGACTTCCAGAGGGCACTGCTATGAAATATCCTCAGCAAATTCTCCTGTCCCCTTTTTCACAGAATTCCAGGTCACTGCTTTCTACACTCTTCACAATCCCGGGCTGGGCGGGGGGAGGGGGGAGCTGGGGGTGTTGTTATCACAGGAGGAGGAAAGAGGCAGAAGCTGATTAAGGGACGGAGGAGCGCAGGCAACTTAATACACCCTCCCCGCCCCGCACACACCGCAGGCGTTAGGTGACCAAGTTGTCTCATGCCCACACCGCCTAACACTCACCCGGGGCTTGGGGCTCGGATCTAGAGTGGAAGGGGAGGGAGGAAGAAAGAGTGAGAAGAGAAAATGGAGGATGCCGAGGAGGAAGAGGAGACGGCAGGAAGTAGGTCCCGGGGGAAAAGAGTGGGCCGGCGGGTGGGGGTAGTGCTGGAGGCGGGGACCCCTCTCCCGAGACGCGACCTCAGCGGGTCGGGGCTTACGTACCTGCGGTCTGGTCCTCGGTGAAATCACACTGCTCAGGGAAGAGGGGGGCCGTCAGCATCTCAACTGCAGCCCCCAAGCGTCCATCCCCGTCCCGCCAACTGAACCACTAACTCCTGCTCCGTGCTGGGGACTCGCTTCCCGCCAGGACAGGACCCCCGAACTCTCCAACCCCGCCCCCGACCTGCCAGGCCCTCGGGTAGCTCCGCAAAGCCCCGCCCCGGCCTCCCGCCTCGCCCCGAGCCACGCTCCGCGTCCCGGGCCCGGGCCCCACCATCGCGACGGCGCGCCTCTGCGGGACCCTCTCCTGCAGCAATGGCTCCGGCGCCCGGCGGTGCCCTAGTCCTCGCGCGTCCCCGTGACGTCACCGCGCCGGCCCAGCCAATAGGAACGGCGGCCCGGCCTTATGCAGATGAGGGCGCTGCGTTAGTAATAGGGTGGGCGGGGCCTCCGCTCCTCCCTCTGGCGCCGCGCTCCCTGCGGGGGGCCGAGCCGCGGCGGCGGGCGGAGCTAGGCGCGAGGGATCCGAGAGTCGGCGATCCGGGAGAGGAGAGGCCGCCCCCCGTCTCCCCCCCACCCCAAAGAAAGCAGCAGTCGGACGCCTAGGCAAGAGCCGTCTTTTTATTTTGAAACAACAGGGGGCCTCCTAGTGGCAGGAACGTGCTTCCGCCGCCGGGGAGGGGCGCCGAGTCCGGCCCCGCCGCGCCTGTGGAAACGAGGCCAGCTGCCGAGGGCGGTCGCTCGCGCGGCGCCGCGGGCTCGCCTTTTCGGCCCCGTGGCCCGGCCGAGGGGAGGGACGGAAGCTGCCTCGGGCGCAGCGGGACGGCCCTACCTGTGGAGCTCAGACGCTGAGGATGTGCTTCAGGAAGGCTGCGGAGACGAGGCGGGAGGGTTCAGAAGCAGGCCCGGCTCCGGGTTCAGATAATCCGGGCCCGTCCCCGCCCCCCCGGACCGCGAGCCCCGGCCCCGCCGCTCCCGCCGCTCCCGCGGCCCCTCACCTTCATAGTTGATGCAGCCGTTGCTGTCCTCATGTCCGGCCAGGACAGTCTCCACCTCCTCCTCAGTCATCCTCTCTCCTGAGCCCGACAGAGCAGATCAGTCCCTGCACCCCCACCCCGCCCTTCCTCTTGGGGCGGTGTTCCCCTCCCCCCCCCCCGGAAGCTTGGCGCCGAGCCGAAGCCCAAAGGAATCCTAGTAAGGGTCCCTCAGTGTGCCCTGTCTCTCCCTCCCACTGCACCTGCCCGCGCGCCTGGTGAACGCCTCCACGGAGGGAAAGTGGGCGGGGGGCCCCAGGTCACAGAGCACAGGCCTCTCTCCCACAGCAAAGTCAGGCTTTCCACCTCACCCTCTCCTCTGTCCTGTGGGAGGCAACTGCACCCCTCCCCTTACCTTCGGGTTCTGCCCCAGGGCTCCGACCTCCTTAGCCCCTGCCCAAGGCCAGTAGGGCGGTAATGCTTCCCGGCTCTGCCTCCGCGTCTACTGGTCCGGCCCCTGCTCCCCGCCCACCCGCCCCGAGTTCCGAGTTCCCTCGAGTTCGAGTTCCGTCCCTGCCTCACCCAGGGTGGTGAGCACGTGTCTGAGCTCCGCGCCCATGACTTTGCCGTTCCCCTCTTTGTCAAACACTCGAAGCCCCTCCAGGTAGTCCTCGTATGTCCCTTGGTCCCGGTTCTTGGCGACTGCTTGGAGCATGGGCAGGAAAGTCTCGAAGTCCACACGCCGGGACTTCAGCTCTGGAGGTTGGAAACGGGAGGGAGGGGTCACTGTAGTGTCACTTTGGGCCCAGCTCCGTCCCTACCACGAAGCTTTTCATCCCGTTCAACGTTCAGGATGTTTTTCTAAAGGTGTCTGACAGTGTTTGAAGTCCCAAGAGCCACCCCAGCATCCTTTGTCACCTTGCCACCATTCCTCGGTTCCACCACCACACTGAAAACCCGCATTGCTCCAGGCATCCCCCTCACCATCACTCTTGGGGTTCCCCAGGATCCTGAGCACCTCCGCGTTGGTGGGGTTCTGGCCCAGAGCCCTCATCACATCCCCACACTGACCATACAGGATCTTGCCGTCCCCTACTCGATCAAACAGCTCAAAGGCCTCCTTGAACTCTGAAGTACGAGAGGTCAGTGTTGAGACCAGGGGTTCCCATCACCCCCCCACCCCACCCCTGACAGAAAGGAGGTTCAGAAACTCCGAGCTAGAGCTGGGCAGAACGGAGGACACAGAGCACTAGGAGGAAGGTTCCAAGGTTGGGACTAGACGGTGGCGCTATCCAAGTTTGGGCTAGGGGAACAGAAAGAGGATCTGACCAGGGGCTTGGGGCTAGACGGTGCGGCTTAAGGGACCAGCTTCTCCTCACCCTCCAGCTGGTCCTTGTTAAACTCGATCTGTGGAAGAAAAGAGCAGGTGAGGAGGGATGACAGGGCTCACTGAATCTCTCTCCAGCACTCCTCCCAACCAACTGGCAGCCACTTCTGGGGAGGGGCCCAAAGAGACCAGGCTGGGAGCCCAGCCACCTCAGTCCCATTCCCAGCTCTGGACCTTGGGAGAATCCCAAGAGGAGGAATTATGGGGGGGAGGGTTTCCTGGGAACAGGGTTAATCCCATGCCACCTGTTCCCCTCCCTCCAGTGCCCTGAGCTCTGCATCCCTCACATAACTGGGGGCTGAACAAAGGCTAAATTTACCCCTGGCCCCCAGCTGTGATTGTCTAACAAGTCTGTCCTCCTCAGCCTTCCCTCCTGGGGTTCAGAGTTGTGGCTTTTAGAACCGAACAGTCAGCCAGGCACAGGCACCAGCTCCCTCTCTTCACCTTGAAACTGTCCTCAGAACCCAGATGTTCCCCATCTCCCGGGTCCCTGCCTCCAGCAGAGGGGTCAGTGAGAATGTGTGTATGTACCCACACATATAGTATAGGTTAGAGGGAGAGAATAAGAAAGAACAGCAGTCATAAGCCTGGATGCTTCCAAATAGGGGACCAAGAGGGATCTCCAGTATCCGTGCAGTGCTCACCGAGTCCCTATCTTTTAGATACCCCTAACCACCTTGGCTGTTTCCTACCCTGTACCATCCCTTCCAAATTTTTCTTCACTCTCCCAAGACTCACCACCACTTTGGAGAGATCGATGGGGGGCTCCTGGGTTTTCTGAGGAGCTGGAGGGACAGCTGGAGCTGGCTCAGCCTTGGGCTTGGCAGGAGGAGCCCCTGCTGCTGGTTTGGCAGCAGGCTTAGAAATAGAGGGTCCCGCTGGTTTCTTCATAGGAACATCCTTCTTGGGAGGCATGATGTCCGGTGGCCAAAGGACAGTGTGCCGATGGGGGCACCCATCTCTGTTTAAATAGCCAGGGAGTCTGGGATGTCAAGGGGCGGGGGCAGGGGCAGAGGCAGGGAGCCAGTTGGCGGTGAGGAGGGTGAGATAGAGGAGAGATATGCCGGCCTGCCCTGGACTCCTATGGTTCAGGACTCCTGCCCCAAGGTCTTCTCTCTTCTGTTCACTAAGCCCCAAATGCTAGCCAGAACAATGGCCCCTTTGGGGGCAGGGGAAGGAAGCCAGAGACTGCCCAGAATGAGGGAGTTAACCTCCGGGGTAAGGATAGGATGCTTGCCAGTGACAGACAGACACAGGGGTGAAGCAAAGAAGGGGACCCAGGCATTCCAGGCCTTGACCCCCCGACACAGAGTAGCCCTTTTGTTTTAGCAGCTTTAGACCCTTGAAGGCTGAGGCAGGGAGGGGGCCCTTGTGAACTGGGATTGTTAGAGTGGGGTCTGGGAGGGGCACCTGGCTGGCTCAGTCAGTAGGGCATGTGACTCCTCATCTTGGAGTTGTGGGTTTGGGCCCCACCCTCGGTGTGCAGACTACTTGAAAATAAAATCTTAAAAAAAAAAAAAAAGTGGGGTCCAGGAGCAGTGAAAGATGAAAAAACCAAGCAGCTCTTCCACTCCCCTCTGACTATAGTTGAGGAGCAGGGGCAGTTGACCCCACAGCCTATAATCCCCAAATCTTACAGTCACTGCCACCGTCTCCCAGCCCGGAACTGGAATTGTGCTAGTATAAAGAACAGTAACATAAAGGAGTGTGATCACACACACACACACACACACACACACACACACACCATGATCTCCTGTTCCCAGTATGGTTTTAAGGGTGAGGGTGGGAACAAGGATCAGGTTTAACACCCACCACCCACACTCCAAGGAAGGAACCCTTTTCCACAGGCCCCATGGTCCCTCAAGTCAGAGGAAGGTAGGGAGCCTGCGGAGCCTGCAGGGACTCTGTGGTGCACCTGAGAGGAAGGGCAGGCCCTGGGAGGCCAGGGGCCTAAATCCTAAAATCTCTAATCCAAAAGGATGTGGGAGGTCCTATGGGTTCCAAAGGTACTTACCCACCAAGCAGAGAATAGTAACAACCCTGGCCCTGGCGCCAGGTTCCAAACCTTGCTGGGGGCACAGGGTAGGGTCTAAGTCGGAGGTGGCGGGGAGAGGGGAGGGGTTGCGGCTACTTTTGTTCTTGGGATAAGAAAGGAAAAGATTTAGGCAGCATTCTGAGGAAGAGTAGTGATTCCACTTAGACCCTGGGGTTCAGAGAATTGATGATTCGTCTCTCACTTGCAAAAATGCGTCTGAATCTCATTACTGAACACTGTCCCATTTTAGAAAAATCGGAATCGTTCCAGTCTCCCAGAACTCATCTCACTCACACACACGCACATGCACACGCACGCACCCACACCTCAAATCAAGCTTAAATAAAGGAAAGAGTCCCTCCCCAGCTCCCCAAAACTCACCCTGCGGGGTCCAGGTGAGGGCGGAGGCGGGGCTGGGAGGCCGCGGGCCCCGAAGGGTTAACGCCAGCGGCCTCGGAGCATGCCGGGAGTCGTAGTCCTCGCGCGCCCGCGGGCTCACGGGAAGGTCGCTGGCAGCTGGGAGACGTCGCCCGAGCAGCGGCTTCCGGCCGGTGGCGGCGGCGGTGACTCAGGCCGTTTGGGCGCCCTCCGCGTCCCGGAGCTGAGCGGCGGTGACCGCTCTACAGCCTCCCCCCCCCCCCCCCCCGGCGCCAGAGCCGCGCGGGCCGGGGCATCTGCGACGTTGAGCGGAGGCTCCCGGCGGGCGGGCGCCGCCGAGGGGCCGTGTGACTTGGAACAGCAACTCCACCGAATTCTCCTTTCTTTTCTTTTCTTTTTTTTTCGGTAATGAGCTGCTGGTAGTTGAAGTAAATGTTAAGATTTGGGATTAGAGGGATCCCTGGGTGGCGCAGCGGTTTGGCGCCTGCCTTTGGCCCAGGGCGCGATCCTGGAGACCCGGGATCGAATCCCACGTCGGGCTCCCGGTGCATGGAGCCTGCTTCTCCCTCTGCCTCTCTCTCTCTCCCTCTCTCTCCCTCTCTCTCCCTCTCTCTCCCTCTCTCTCCCTCTCTCTCTCTCCCTCTCTCTCTCCCTCTCTCTCTCTCTCTATCATAAATAAATAAAAAATAAAAAAAAAAAAGATTTGGGGTTAGGCCTTGGCCACCTGCCCCGGCTCCTCCCACGGTGCAAGTTTCTCCATCCCTCGGCGCGGGGCACGGGGCATCGGCTCTGCCTGGAACGCGGGGCTGCGCCGCCCAGCGCCTTGGGCCTCACGCCTCCGTCCGCGCTGGTCATCTCCTTCCCTAGACGCCCCCCAGCCCCCCGGGGCTGCGGGGGCTCCTGGGGCTGCAGGGGCTCGCGGGGCTTGCGGCTGACAGGGCCGAGGGTCGGAGGGGGCGGGCGGTGGGGGTGTGCAAGCCGCTCGGAAGAGTAGGGACGGTTGCCTACAGCCTAACAGGAGGAGGAGGAGGAGGTCAGCCGCTCTCCGCGGAGGCCTTCACCAGGCCCTTTCCGCTTGGGCTGGGTTACCTCCGAGGAGCAGCCGAGGGGGAGCTGAAGAGAAGGGTCCCGCCGCGCCCCGCCGCGCCCCGCCGCGCCCCGCCCCGTTGGAATCCAGGTTCTGCTAGGTATTTGCTGGTAACCTCACGCAGGTTACCTCTGCCTCAATTTCCCCCATCTGTAACATATGGATAACGTCACCCAGCTGATAAGGTTGTCGGGAGGATGAGATGTGTTAATGTCTGTAAAATAGACGGCCTGGCACAGAGTGAGTAGTGGAATAGAAGCGTTTGTGAAATAAATTTCCTTTAATCTTCCCAACCTATGAAGTAGTTGCTTTTTGCCCACTGTTAAACATCCATAAAGGATCACTAGGCCTGAAGAAATGGAGCAAGAAGAAATACATTTTGCATAAGTGTCTGGTACATGGGGATCCCTGGGTGGCACAGTGGTTTGGCGCCTGCCTTTGGCCCAGGGCGCGATCCTGGAGACCCGGGATCGAATCCCACGTCGGGCCCCCGGTGCGTGGAGCCTGCTTCTCCCTCTGCCTATGTCTCTGCCTCTCTCTCTCTCATGTGACTATAATAAATAAATAAAAATTAAAAAAAAAATAAGTGTCTGGTACAAAGCTGGGGAAGAGCTGTATCACAAGTGTCTTTGATCATGTCAGCAGTAGCTGATTTGGAAAATGTTGTTTAATTTTTTTTTCTCTTCCCCGTGGTCTAGCTGTAGCCCTCTTGGCACTTTGTCAAGTAGAAGCGGTTATGGCATCATCTGACTTTATAACATTTTTGTCTGCTTTATAAAGAAGTAGTGCAGAGAAAACATGAAGACTCTTGGCAAACAGACTGGAGGACTGTCCCTCATTTTTGCACTATTCTTGTCTTTTAATCTGGGAGCCCAACTTGGGACCCTGACAGCATGACCTAACACTTAATCAACTGAGCCACCCAAGCACCCCATAAGGAAGGTCAGGCATGGCTCCGTCTTTTTTTTTAATTTTGTTTTAATTATGTCACACACAGAGAGAGAGAGAAAGAGGCAGAGACATAGGCAGAGAGAGAAGCAGACTCCATGCACCGGGAGCCCAACGTGGGATTCGATCCCGGGTCTCCAGGATCGCGCCCTGGGCCAAAGGCAGGCGCTAAACCGCTGCGCCACCCAAGGAATCCCTGGCTCCGTCTTTAAGGAACGGGAAACGGAGACGCCCAGAGTCTCTGCTTCTTTTGCCAATGTGATATAGAGTATGGGAGCAGAGTCAAGGTTCAAATGTAAATCTAAAAAATAAAAAGTGAATCTAACTCCAAAGTCCTTGTTTTGTGTTTATTTTTTATTTTTTTTAAGTAGGCTTCGGGGCTTAAGCTCAAGACCTGAGCCAAGATCAAGAGTCAGACACCCCCTTTGCTAGTTTCATTTTTAATTTTTATTGATAGAGCACACAAGCAGGGGTAAGTAGAAGAGGGAGAAAGAAGCAGGGAGCCCAATGTGGGGCTTGATCCCAGGACCCTGGGATCATGACCTGAGCCAAAGGCACACACTCAACTGACTGAGCTACCCAGATGCCCCTAGTTTCATTTTTTTAATGCTCTAAACTAGTGGTTCCCAGATTTAGCTGTTCTTCAGAATATCCTGAGAACTTTGTAAACAGACAAACTTGCAGACTCTTCCCCCAAAGATTCTGACTCTGGGTCTGTGTTAGGGCCTGGGAATCTTTTTGAAATATTTTAGCTATGGAAAGGACAGAGAACAAACTAAGTTAATTACAGCTTTAAAAATATATATTTTTTATTTTATTCATGAGAGACAGAGAGAGAGGCAGAGACACAGGCAGAGGAAGAAGCAGGCTCCAAGCAGGGAGCCCGATGCAGGACTCGATTCCAGACCCCAGGATCACGCCCGGAGTCGAAGGCAGACGCTCAACCACTGAGCCACCCAGGCATCCCTAACTACAGCTTTAATAAAAGGAATGATCTTTTCAGAATGTGTATTTGATCATGTCATCTCCCTACCTAAAATCCTTCCATGTATTTTGGTAAAGACTAAATCTTTAGTTGGTTCACAAAACCCAGCAGTTTCAAACACTGCTTCCTTGTATCAGTTACACCTCTATACCAGCCACATCTACTAGCTCGCAGATCTTTAAAGATGTCCTGGTCCCTTTTCTCAGGTTATTGCTACTGTCTTTTAGATCTCTACTCTCCCTCCCTTCCAACACACACTTTCTAGGGCCAAGTAGGGTACGGTGCCTGGCATATACTGGGCAAATATCTGTAGAATGAATGGGTATTTGGATAAAAGGGAAGAATCAAGGATAGACGCTGATACTAGTATGTTGATGAGATAGATTGGGGATTCAGGAGATTGAGAGAGTTCCCAGGTATTTTTACCTTGCATTAGAATATGAGGTGATTGATTTGCTAAAAGAGGAAATAGGAGGAAGTGGCTTGAGAAGGTAGTGAAGGTTTGAAACAGGTACTATGGAAAGTGGGAGACAGCTTACTGGGGAGCCAGTCAATACTCAATTGAGATGTACTGAGTGCCTACTCTGTGCTCCCTACGTGAATTTACTGAGCAGCTTAAAGGGTGGTTGCAGTGGGAGCTCATGTAACGATGCCAGGTAGTGATTTCCTCCTTCCGACTGTATTCTGCTGCTTGGACGATGGAGCTAGAGCAAAGAGGCAGCTGGAATGGTAATGGATCTAGACAATGGAGTTTTGTGGAGTAGGGATGATGGATGAACATGAAAGTGAGGAAGTTGGGAGTCTGAGTAAAAGAGAGTTTGTGGTCTAAGCCAAATAGAGGAGTAAGTACAGAAGTGACCCATTAGGACGTGTGGCTGTGTCAGAGGATAGAGTGTGCAACCTGTGATCTTAGGGTCGTGAATTCAAGTCCCAAATTGGGTGTAGAGCTAAAAAAAAAAAAAGGTGTAGAGCTTTCTTAAAAAGAAGAAAGAAAGAAAAAGAAAGAAGAAAGAAAGAAAGAAATAAAGAAAGAAAGAAAGAAGAAAGAAGAGAGAGAGAGAGAAAAAAAGTGACCTATTAGATTGAGAGAATATAAAAAGTCACTAACAGTCTTGGGTCTCAATGAGGTTGAGAAGTAAGATGCTTGGAGATCTCACAGCTGTTGAAGGAAATAATGCATTTGAATTTAAAATTCCAAAGACTATAGAGGAAGACAGGAATAGGGTGTGAGTGGTCGAAAGGGTAGAGACGTGAAGGTTATTGGATCTGAGGAGAATGTTCTTTAGGGCTTTTTCGATAGCAAGTAGCAAAAATCTGACTAAACCTGGGTAACCAATAAAGAGGATTTATTGGCTTATGTAACTGAAAAGTCAAGAGGTAGGGTGGGTTTCAAGTTCATTTTGATCCAGAATTTCATGACATCACAAAAGGATTTTCAAAAAAAATAAAATTAAAAAAAAATAAAAATAAAAATAAAAGGATTTTCTACTTTTCTGGCCACTGTCCTCCATTTGTTAGCTTCTTACTTGAATTCCCTCCTGGAGTCATATCTGGCTTGGCTGTGCAGGCATCACATCCTTATACCACAAGAGGAAGAGAGTGAGCTTTTCTTTTTTAATTTGGAAGTATTTATTTGTATTCTTTTTAAAGTAAGCTTTATGCCCAACATGGGGCTTGAACTCATGACCCTGAGATCGGGAGTCTCCTGCTGTCCTGACAGAGCCACACACACCAGAGGGAGCCCTCCTTCACCATTGGAATCGGTTCCTGAACTTCACTCTGACTCGACGGACTTAGAAAAATGCTGCCATCAAGCCTGGAATTCATCACCATGACTAGGGAAACAGCGTGCCCTGTGTGGGACAGCTGGGGTTTGCCCGCCCCGGTGACAAGGAGGACGGCGTTACCCTGCCCCACAGACCAGTTGGGGTTTGTCTGCCTTTGGAGGTGGACTGGAGCCCATCCAAACGGGAAGGAGTAGAAGGACACTGGGGAGGAAGCCTACGTTGTCCGCCACAAGGAGGAACTCTGATGGTGATTACCCAAGAGCCTGTGGCATACGTTGGAGACACGCAGTGACAGCAGTATTCAGGGGGCCATGCCCTCCGGTAAGTATGGAGTGGGTGTGTGGTTAGTG